GACAAATTCCTTTTGCAGGTGTTGTCGGTTGCGTCATGGTTCGATGGACCGAGGTGGGGTCAGTCGAGAATCACGCTAGTGAGCGACGCGTTCCTGCCGCCAATCCTCACGATATGCCATCCATGGCGTGATATGTACTTGAGCTGACTGAGCTGGAGAAAGACAACCGTACGACCTGTATCTTTACCGGTGAGCTGAAGTCTACGGCTATTTTGATGCCACCGGATGGCGTGCCAGTGTAGGACCTCTCAACATGATCTCAAGACGCCGGAAGACGGCGGACAGCATACTTGCCAGCCTCCACTTCCCTTCCAACCCTGGCTTCGGTATCGGAACTTCATCCGAGCGGATAGTGATCTGCGCAAGCATCTGCAGCAAGCTTGCTGCTCAAATATTTACGTGCAGCCTGGGCAGACATTTGGGGTGAAGCAATGCTGGCAAACACGGCCGTCTTTAACATGTAAACTCCAACCAAGTGGATGTGTGAATGCATTCGATTGCTCTATATGTTCATGATCTATTCCTCAATGCATTCCATAATCTCCCTCCGCAGCAATGGTCCTCTGGCATTCAGCGAAAATAGCAGCCTGCCTGGCTACATCAGCCAGTCGCCCAACGACTTGCTTGTTACCATCCAGGAAACCGTACAACGCATACGGGATGTCTACCTCGTTACAAAACTCCTGCACCAGCTTTTGGGTCTGCCTCAGATTGTGCCGAGGGATTCTCGGATACAGGTGGTGGATAGCCTGGAACTGCAGGCCACCATGGAAGAAATCCAACCATTGCGGGCAGTCAACATCCATCGTCGTACGAAGCATCTTCTGCGCAAAGGATTCATGAATACCCAAATCTGCCGTACTCATAGCGAAATGAGACAGCGTGATCTGCACGTGAAGGGGCGACGTAACGGCGTGGGCAATCAAGACGAACCAGAAGCGGCTCCAGTTGTCGGGTATGGTCTTGTACACGACTCCATAACCGAACCAAGTCCAGTAAAACAACATGCCTACCATCTCGAAATATCGGTGCCACCAAGCTGGTCCTTTCTTGGGCCCCTTTCCAAGAAGCAAATACATCCAGGACAGTCTGTAAAGATTGAAACGCGCTACCATCATGATCGGGTAATATGTGTAGTGCTGTAGCGGGATCATGACCTTTGCGAATGCATCGTAGTCCATGGCCCACTCGTAAAAGGTTGTGGTGAGACTCTCCATGAACCGATGGGTGATGGCGAAGAAAGGGATGTATTGGATATCAGGATCGTGTTCGGGGTGGTTCGTAACGAGATGATGAACGTTGTGGCTGTATTTCCACCAACAAGCACTCAAACCGCCCAGATAGGAGGCGATGAACATTGCGATGGTCGAGTCAGTCGTGAAGTCGTGAGTGATGCCCATGTGTCCAGCATCGTGGACAGTGAAAGTGAGCTGGTGCCAAAAGCACGCAAGTGGTACGGCACTGGTGATGTACCACCCCTTCGTCAGCAGGAATATGAAAGCGGCCAAGAAAGACCCATAGCGTAGGCATTCGATACCGTAAGCAGTGTAGTTGCAGTCGTAGAGACCTTCTTGCTTTATGCGCACTTGCAAGTCGCGGTATTTTTGAGTGATCCGATCTTGAGTGGCCGGGTCCAGGGACGGGTATTTGGCCTTGTCGAAATCCAGCTCTTCTTGAGTCCGCCTGTCAAGCACTGTCATCTTCGGAGTGACCCTGTCATCCAGCTCGACCGATGAGACGCTTGAGTTCGAGGAAGCCCTGGTGACATTGGCTCCGTTGCGTTTGCGGGCCGAAGCAGACGGCCGATCTGCTGGTTCGAAGAGCGGGCTGCTGTCTGCCGAAGAGGCTGAGCTAACAGTCTCCTGTTCTGAAGAGGAGCATGATTCCATGTACTCCTCCTCTGAGAGTCTATCCAGCTCTTCCTGTGTCCGGAACTTCCCTCCCTGTATCGGCGGCAGGAAGTTGGTCCATCGTCCTTCGATACGGCCGACTTGGTAGCGATTCATGAGCTCGAGCGTCTGCGCAGAGTGGAATCTGGGTGCAAAAGTCAGCATTAAGCTTTCCTGGGCACCACGGGACATCATACCGAGTGACTTCGTCTGTGGCATCTCGTCCCACCATGTGCGCGATGGCCTTGTCACCGCCTGGGTGATAGGGCAGCCATGCGTCCACCTTCAAGACCTTGCCGTCTACGATGACAATTGAGCGTCCATTGGCGATCTGGGCCTCGATCTCTCTTCGACTGAAGACTCTCGACTTCCTGTCTGCCTGGGCGGCCATGTTGCGGTACGGTGTGGTACACGAAGAGTGCACAAACGAGTGTCCAGGTGCGGGCTCAATTGACGAACGGAATTCAATGTACAGACAGTCAGACCACAGCTTCGCGGCGTCTCAGAAGGAGCTAGGCGTTGCGGTGAGCTGCGCCGGAGCCAGCCAGTGGAACAGGAGATCATGAGCTGATAAACTTCCGAAGCTTGCCCGCCAGGACCCTGCACGCCCCCACGTTCCTCGCCACCCCAGAGCCGCATCCAGCAATGACCTCACATGTCAAGCGGAGAGCATGTGTGGCCCTGCAGCGCCGTATATGTAAGTAATAAGTCACCAGAATCTACACGTGAGCTTCGACAAATTTGAAAGTCTTGGAGAGCATAAATGCGGCAGGTGCCCACTTGAGCTTGCTATTGCGCGCTTTCTGTCGGCAAACTCCGACACTCCATCACCTTCTACTTCGTGACCTTTCTCTGCCAAGTGACATTTGTTGACTTCCACTCTCAATTTCATCCTTTCTCAGAACAAATCACATCACCCAAAGCGTCCTCCAGAATTCGAGATTCCAATCATGACCCGAGATATCAAGGACTTAGCGAAAGAGTGGCTGGAGCTCGACGAGGACAAATCAACGACAGATGAGATCTACAAGTTGTTGGTGGATGGCGATACCGAGGAACTCGAAAAGCGACTTCGACATCGTATTGCCTTCGGAACAGCTGGACTCAGAGGGCCCATGCAGGGCGGCTTCGCCTGCATGAACTCTCTGACAGTGATTCAAGCTTCCCAAGGACTAGCAGCGTACCTGCTCAAGACCGAAAAGAACGTTGAGAGAAGGGGTGTAGTCATTGGGCGGGATGCGAGACATAACTCGGAAAAGTTCGCCAAGCTCACCGCAGCTGCTTTTGTCGCAAAGGGCATCAAGGTGTGGTGGTATGAGGACCCGAGTCATACGCCCATGGTTCCCTTTGGCGTGCGCGAACTCGACGCCGCTGCTGGTATCATGATTACTGCCAGCCACAACCCGGCTAAAGACAATGGATACAAAGTCTACTGGTCGAACGGGTGCCAGATCATTCCCCCACACGACGTCGGAATCGCCGAATCTATCATGGAGAACCTCAAGCCTGTCACTTGGGACACGAGTGTGATAGAGTCTTCACTCCTGGTGGAAGGAAGTCTGGATTTGGTACAAGACAAGTACCATCAGGCCGTCCTGTGCGCCGCACAGCCCGAGCATGTCAAGGTCAAGATGGACCCAGAGCTCAGATTCGTGTACACGCCCATGCACGGTGTTGGACTTCCTGCTATGCAGCGTTGCGCAGAGACACTTGGTGTAGCCTCGCAGATGGCCGTAGTGGAGGCTCAAGCACAGCCAGACCCTGACTTCCCCACAGTCAAGTTCCCGAACCCCGAAGAGAAGGGAGCGCTCGACCTGGCAATCGAAACGGCAGAGAAGTCATCGATACGCCTGATTCTCGCCAGCGATCCCGATGCAGACCGACTTGCGGCAGCAGAGAAAGTAGGAGACAAATGGCATATCTTCAGCGGTAATCAACTCGGAGCGCTGCTTGGATCCTACCTCTTTGAACGTTACCCGGCGTCAAAACCGCGAGAGAAGCTTGCGATGCTGGCCTCTACTGTCAGCTCCAGGATGCTTGCAGCGCTAGCGAAGAAGGAAGGTTTCAAGTTTACCGAGACGTTGACTGGATTCAAATGGCTTGGAAACGTAGCGCGACAACTCGATAGCGAGGGCTACGATGTGGTTTACGCCTTTGAGGAAGCCCTAGGATACATGATCCCGCAGACAGTACACGACAAAGACTCCATCAGCGCAGCCGCAGTCTTCCTAACCGCCGCATCGCATTGGTCCACCCAAGGCCTGACAGCCTACGCCAAGCTACAACAACTCTACCAATACCTTGGCTACTTCGAAGACGCAAACACCTACCTCGTCTCGCCATCGCCCTCCGTGACGACATCGGTGTTCACAGCTATCCGCGCACTGGGCAGCCCCCACCCAACGTCGATTGGCTCCCGTAAGATCGCGCGCTGGCGAGACCTAACCCTGGGCTATGACTCAAAGAGCAAGGACCACAAACCCGATCTACCGGTTGATGTCACTAGCCAGATGATCACCTGTGAGCTAGATGATGGGGCCGTGTTTACAGTCAGAGGCAGCGGAACGGAACCGAAGATCAAGCTTTATATTGAGTGCCAGGGGAAGAGTAGTGAGGAGGCGAAGAAGGGCGCTAATGAGATCTTGGAGGATCTGCTGAGGGAGTGGTTTAAGCCTGAGGAGAATGGGTTGAGACTGGCTTAGGGCAGGAGATGTTTTCTGATTTAGATACTGCTACTACCACTGAGTTGAAGGGTGAGAGGGCATCTTGAACACAATGCAACGTTCTCTTGCGGAGTCGAAATGCTCGTGCGGTTGTTTTACGATTGTATGCTAGCAAGCACCATGTTTATGATTAGATGCTCTTACACGTATTGAGGAATTCATCATCATCGTCGTCTTCCCAACTTAACGTCGCTCCACAGCAGACTCACCTTCACCTAAGATCTGCGGGCTAAACCCTATCTTCCGCGACCAACAGCACTTCTCTCACCTCACCTACCTTTACCCATCCACCTGCTAACCTACCACCCAACTCCCTTCTACTCAGTCATCCCCCCCTCCATCTACAACAGCCCTCCTACCCATCTACATCCACCACCCCACCCACCAAATGGCCACCCTATCAACATCACCCATCTCCCTCCTCTGGGTTTCCTGGACAGACATGGATAAACTCGTCGACGTCGAAACCTACGGCTTACCCCAAATCACCAAATGGACGAAGGCTCAAGTCAAGTCCCAATTCGCCTCCAAAGACCTCGCTCCCATCTGCTGTCCCCACCTCCGCGCTCCCCGCATCCCAGAAGCTATTGTCGAAATCAACAATTCGCGGAACAACGCGCCGGCTATGCAATATTACATGACCAACAACAGGTTCTGGCTGGCACACCGTATGCTGCTGCAAGCGCAGTTCCAGTCTGCGGTGAGGTTTACGACGGATGAGTGTTATTATTTGCTGGAGGAGGGGGAGGCGGTTGTGGAGGTTAACGGTAGGCCGTTGACGGGAGTGGAGAAGAGGATGTTGGATGTTGAGCCGGGGCAAGTGGATATGAGGTATGTGTTGACTGTGAGGAAGGTGTGTGAGAGGTGTTTACTGACTTTGAAAGTGAGCTGCAGCCGACGGAGATGAAGATGCATCTTGGAGTTGCGATGAGGATTCCGCCGTATACGGTGCATTGCTTCAAGGTGAGGGCGGATTCGCTGGTTACAGCTGGGTGTATTGTGCCGAGGGGAAGAGATGAGTAGGGGAGATGGGCTATAGAGAGATGATTTGGATGGTAGACTTGGACGTGGATATTTGACGAGGAAAGGCGGATAAGCACGACTAGATGGCCAGATGGAGTTTTGAGAATGACTGTGGATGGAGGATTTGGATGGAAAACGCGGATGACTAGATGCCAAATATGGCTGGTGGTCTACCTGATTCGAAGGACCTTAACGTCTACTACTTAACGGGGATGCATGAGACGAAACATGCGATGCAAGTACTATACCCAAAAGATAATCGATGGTACTGTTACACGATCAAGGTGTACATGTGCATGGCAATATTGGAAGACACCATGATGACACTCACTCAACAATGAGAATAGTGGGTGTGTGCGTAAGCGCTTCGCGGCCTCGACGTTTGGCATGTGAGATAGGCAAGAGGTGGTTGCACCCTACTCATCACAAGATGGGACGAGCGCTCGGCAGATAGTTGTATCTCCCAATCTTGAAACTCATATCCTCGACTAGCGCCCGCCTTCCCGATCGAGACCCTGTTAGATGCAGTGTAGACGCAGCGCTGACGACAACTAGTCACATACGGTTCTGCCTTGTACGGATGGGTCCATGGCGAGGCTGATGTCTGGGTCGAAACTTGTCGCCATGCGCAAGTCTCCATGGTCGGGCCTGTTGGACGTGCAGATGCAATGCAGCATGCGCAACAGTCCTCCGTGAGTACTGGCCAATGAGCGGCATGATTAGTCGACTAGAGAGGCGCCATGTATAGTGTTGTTGTTGCCTTGACAAATGGGAGTTGAGCATGTAGAGCTGGCGAGAGCGCAGAAGAATCGCTTTTTCTCAGAAGTATCAGGGCTATGATGGAGGGTTTACTTTTTACCCTTCGCCGGCCGCACATGGCGTTTATAGCGTTGCTGGATTCGACGGCTGGGTAGCAAACGGCCAGGGTGTTCGGCCGGGTGTCAGCTAAGCAGGGGAGGCGGAGGAATGCGTGCCCTCAGCCAATCACGTGGGCGTCGTTGTATCGATAGGCCTGTCCCGCGCGTACCCAGACTCCGGGGAAGTGTCTGAGGCAGCCGTGACTAAACCGCTGCGGGCGGCGTGCATGCGTGCTAAACAGTCACGGCCCAAAAGTATCCACGGCCTCTTTCCCCTCGTGTGCCCACCAGTTCTGTCGCGTCCGTCGCGTCCTCCCAGCTGCGCCCTGTCCGTCTATAAAGACCCGTCGCTCCTCCCCTCGACGTCGCCTGGTTTTCGCAATCTGCTCGCACATTCTTCGGTACGCCCTCGGCCCCACCAGAATTTCCCTTGGAAACGTGCTAACGGGATGAAAGCTTCAACAGGAACCGCGACATGTCTCTCTCCTAGACTATTCGCGTCCTATGCGGGATGCGCTGCCATCAACACCAATGGCGGGGTTCGGCGACCCAAATACTCATGTCACGCGACAAAGTCACCATGCGCCGTCGCAACCAACTCCCTCGAGACGATCGCTGCCAGACGGGCCATGCAACTATCGCGACGCGCACATAGGACAGTGTGGATGTGACCAGTTTTGGGACAAGCTCAGCGCCGAGCTGCACGATGAGAGCGCCGACCATCGGCCTAGCAGCGAGCGCTCCACGTGGTGTGTTTGCGGGCACCATGCCTGCTTCCATCTGAGGGCGACGCGTGCGCCAGAGAGGCAGGCGCTGTCGATGAATCTCCCGCTGCCACCACTGTATGCGACAGGTGAAGAGCCGCGCCAATTGCAGGCAAGCGCGCAATGCGACACGGGTGCTGCGATGCGACAGCTGGGGGACAACCTTCTGTCTGAAGGGGGTCAAGCCATATACAATGCGCGCATGCATCAACACTCCAGTCCTAGCCAGCGCCCCCAGCGACAGCCCTCTGAGACCAACTCGTTTGGTCGCTTGCTACAAAGTCAGGACACTCCATCACAAATCAGCACGAGCGGCCTCCCTGGACTTCCCTCCGTGTGCTTGCTATCTCATGAACGCCGCCCAGTAGCTAACAGCGAAGCTAGGTATGGCGTGAATCAGTCGCGCCAGACGGTGGCAGGTCTTGGTCTTTCGATGATGAACTTGGAGAGCATGGCTCAGCTTAACCGTCAACAGTCGCCTACATCCACTATACCCGACGACATCAACATCGCCCATACCCCGCGAAAGCTACCCCACGAGCCCGTCGTCTCCCCAGGCAGGGCGAACATCACCAGCCCATCGCGCGGCATCCTCGAGCAGGTACTTGAGTTCAATCGCAACTTCCAGCCCGACGAGCCTGGCGATACCATACCCAACACCTACAACCCCGAGGAATACGTACAAAGCGCTACCGAGGTGGCTACTCCAAGCGTTGGGAACACTCCAGATCTGAGCGCTGCTGATCGGGCTGTACAGGACGGGAAGGACATGATCGACGCAATGAAGCGCATTACCTCGGAAATCCAACAGCAATCGACCAGCTCACCTGAGCGACAGACATATGGCACAGTTCCCACCCAGCTCTTGCCCAAGAACGCTACAGCAGGACCACAGGAACAGCTGCAAACCCTCCTCCAATCGGCTCCACCACAAGGTCTCCAGAAGCTTGTCTCCTACCTTGCCCCTCTCCATAATCTGCTGAACTCGATACCCAATGTAGCCAAAACCATGCAGGAACTTGGTAGCCGCCTAGACTTGCTGGAGAATGGATCTTTCAACTACGTTCAGCCGGAAGATCTTAACAACACCTTGGAGATGTACGAGGGTAGGCTAATTGACGTGGAGCATCGCATGCATGAGCATGAACGCATGCATGAAGCTATGGACGAGCAAAGTAGCACCAGCTCCTTTAGCCGAAGGCGCATCGACAACGCCACCACGTCGTTTGGCTCCAATCAATCTGTTGATTCCACCACTTCCTCCGCCCTTATCCTCGCGGCCATGGATCGCAAAGATACAGAAATGGAGCTTGATAACATTAAAGAGAGATTGGATGTGCTGGAGTCCGCGGCGCCACCCACATCGCTCCAGCCTTGGGAAGTTGAGGTTGTCCTACTGCCATGGGGTCCGGACTTGAAAGGCATCTGGTTCTCGCCTGATGAACCCATGCATGACATAGCGAAGACAACAACCCAGAACTCTGAAGAGTGGACCCAAGCTCATACCTTGAAGACCATGAAAAGCCTGCCATTCCTCGGACGAGACTCCGATTCGAGCCCCTACCCTGGTGCTCGCAACTCGGTCAGAGGATCTATACCTAGCCAGGCCGACAACGGGTGGAGTAGCCAGGACATTAGTAACTGGGCTTCGGGATCTACGGATGACTGGTTGTTTCCCAAAGCTTGTGGAAGCAACAACCTAGTCTACAAGCGACTCCAAAGCAGGGGTTTTGTCCGAGATGTTACGTTCAAGGGTTCCAGCGCCAAAGATATTCAAGAAGCCTTGTCACATGCATTTTCTGATGTCTTCGATTACCTGCAGTACGACGACAGCGACGAAAACCCTATGATCTCTGCCTACCCAGGTCTTCGAGCGCCCTACATACCACTTCGAAAAGTACTCAAGGAGTCGCGACTACGTTTTCTTACGCCCGCCGAGATGTCCAGCAGTGCGCTCTGGAATGCTCAGTTTCTCTCAGCCGGTGTCATGATGAGAGTTTCCGGTGGAAAGAAAAGGCTTTACGTCACCGTCCGCGAAGCCTATACCCAACAAGTTGATCGCAATGAGTTCGTTGTCATGGAACAGTCATGGCCTGAGCTGCGCCAATTACCTCGCTATCAACCCGACCAAGACTCGCAGATGGAGGGCAACGACGAACAGTGCCAAGCGCATGTCCCTGAAGCGGATGCGAAAGAAGCATGTTGGCAGTTCGTCGAGACATACGATGCTCCGCCTGCTAGTGTGCATTCGTCCTTCGGGAGCAATCAGTCCGTCCAGCTCTCCATGCGCCCTGCTGGTCGAAATTGGCGACGGTCAATCACTCCCAACTCGATACTTAAGAACAAGCAACCCCAGCCCATCTCTCCACTAAGTGAGAACCATCCGCAACGTCCACTATACTATCGTAACCGTACGGTATCTGCTTCGGTTGTCGATACCGTCACACCTCGTCAGTCGAAACGCCGCTTCAACCCATCTATCGTTGAGCAATCCTCTGCCCCACAGCCAATCTCACGTGCACCCAGCCTACCATCCGCGAGGCTGAAGCGCCGTCGCGTAACGAACTCATCTTCCCCACGACCCGAAGAAGCACACGTAGCGATATGGAATGCGACCCCTCGGCAGTCCCGAGAACCACCGTCGCCTTTCTACTCGTCACAGCCCGCACTACCACGCTCGAACTCAGACGTCATGAGCAGACCAAGCCAGCGGTCCGTCGCCATAGCAGGTAAATCAACGCCTTTCGCCTACGCGACACCGCACTCAGGACCCTTCCCGGCTGGCCCTGGCTTCAACGCTTACAACAACGGCGGTGATACCGAACCAGACGACGACGACGACGACGCTCACGATAACGATGACGGGGAAAAAAGCTGGCGTGGCGTTACCGATGACGACAATGACCACGACAATGACAGCGCTTCAAGCTCAGTACTTGGTGCTGAAACTGGTGCGCAAGAGGGAGCTAGCTTCTCGGGCGACGACAGTGGTTTCGGGAGTGATAACGGAGAAGATAGCGATGCGCCGTCGGAAGACGAGGGAGAGGTTTATGCGCAGCGTCAGCATGGTGAAGAGGATGAAGATGAAGACGACGAGGATGTTTTTGACTCTTTGCTTAGTATCATTGAAGCGTAGATACGCGGGGTTGATATACGGATGATTTGGATTAGGTCATCACATCATGCAAGAAGAGCAAGGAATCTGGATATTGGACATCCAGCTAGGAGCATTTGAAGAGAAGCACACACACACACATATATCAGCATAGGCGTTCTAAGGCAAGGAGACCTTGTACTATATTGCTTCCATTGTACTTGCAGCGTTTTGTTTCCCTTTTTGGAACCTTGTTTTTTCGGTTCCTGGTTAGCAGGGTGTGTCTTTGTGTACTACTAAAATTGGTCGTTGGGGTATGGTTATACGGTTAGCACAGTGGTGGTGGTTGTCAACACCTATTGTCTCTACCCTTAAGGCGGTTGAGCTGGGAAATGAATATTTTACATTTAGTGTTCTGCATTGGTGTATTGAATGTGGAGAAGGTGATTGATGTGAGTCTCTTTGATTAGCTATGATATAGAGACTGAGCTCTCACGATGAGGCAGCGTCTAAGCCACAAAGAACTACGACCATGCATGTAGATCCGGGCCAAGGGACAGTATCTGCTTCTCAGCCAGTGTCAGACGTGATCAGAAAGCCAGGGGCGTCTTTCAGCACGGCAGTCTTGTCGAAAACATCAAAGCAACCAATCCACACACCCTCCCCTTCATGGCCACCAAGATTCAGTAAACGCATAGCCTCAACGAGCTTTTCGCGAGTAGTAGCGCCGTCCCGGAGGTGTTCTATCGCATCTGGCGCCAGATATACTTTGCTGAGACCAGGTAATAACAACCGCGGGTGTATTTGAGGAAGCTCTCCGGAAGTGGAGAAGAGACGCGTCGTGGACACGTAATTGTAGCTGATGGAGATGGTTTTGATGGCGCTACGCTGACGAAAAGTGAGTATCTCGGTGAAGAGCTCAAAAGCTTGAACCGATCTGAAATTGAAGGAGTTGATCTCAAACAGGAGGGGCGCGCTTTCAAAGTAAAGCTGACGACAGACGAGTGTGACAGTTAGGCTCTGTGAGACGCGCTTCATACCATAACTGTCGTGGAAGTTGGTCTGGCTGCAGGCATTGAGACGAAGCGGTAATGCTCCAGCTGGCCTTGATCCCGGGGTATCGTACAGACTGACTATGTGTCCTCCAACAACATAGCCGAGTATTTTGTTGCGAAGCTCGCCCGGAAGACGAAGAAGCGGGGATTCGGTCGAGTTGCGGGTAGTACTGAGTGTGTTAGCGATCAAGATGGTCTTTCTGCTGTAGCCAGACTCTGTCACTTACATCTCTGATACCGCACCAGATACTTCGGCACTAATTGATGCCATCTTGTCGATGTAACCGCGCGTCTTGGGCTGAGAACACAGTGGAGGGTGGGAGAACTAACGTAGGTGAGATAAAGTGGCAGGAGCGAACTTGTCAACAAACGAAAGTCCGTGCTGAAACTGACGCGGTGAGTGACCAGCGTGCTGACACATCTTCTGTCTGTAATTTCCGACGAGTAGACAGATAGACGAGTTAACCAGAAGTACACAATGACATCAAGATGTCCAAAGTTCCTAGTCTATACCCAGGTACCAATGTGAGCTACAGAGTGAAATCAGCTCTAGAGACCTATTGCAGCTTCTCAATTCCTTTCTGATATGGCATGAATGTAGCATAGACAATTGAAGCATCATTCGCATCACCAGACATTGCTGAAGCTGTGTTGCTCACCAATTATGGTGATCCCACTGTGACGTCATGACATGTGAATGTGACAGCTGCATATGCTGGGCAACCTCTCAATTCCTCAAGACGTCACTTATGGTAATAGACAAGCGTGTATACTAAAAACAATGTGATTTTATCTGCATCGAGCGAGAACATCTTTATTTCTCTACTACCCTACTTTACATTAACCTGATCAAATTTACTAGTTATCCAACATGCAGTCCGTCCTCCACAAAGTCATTGGCCCTAAAGAGGTTCACCCAGAAAACCTCGAAGGTCGCGTCGCAGTAGTCACCGGCGGTGCTCTTGGAATCGGGTACGACCAGCCTCTTTCTCTATCCTTCCAGATCTTCGCTAACCCGCTTATAGATATGAAGTCAGCCGCGCACTCGCCCTCGCAGGCGTAAAAGTCATCATGGTGAACCGTAAAGAAGAGCAGGGTGCCGACGCCATCTCAAGCATCAAGAAAGAGAAGGCCGACGCGCAGGTCGAATGGAAACACTGCGACATGGGCAGCCTCAAGGAAGTCAAAGAAGTCTTCTCCGAACTACGCAACTCGCTCGACCGTCTCGATTTCCTCGTTCTTTCCGCCGGTATCAACACGAACTTTTACGGGGAGGACGCGGACGGTATTGACCGCCACTTCGGAGTGAACTTCCTAGGCCACTTTTACGTATGCAATCAGCTCTGGCCCGTACTACGCAAGACGGGTAAGATGGGCACGAAGCCTGCGCCGAGGGTCGTCTTTGAGTCGAGTGAGATGCATCGTACTGCGCCGTCGGACGTGCACTTTGCGAGCATGGACGAGATCAACGATAGCTCGATGGACCCCACACGACTGTATGGACGCACAAAGCTGGCTATGATCCTGTTCGCGAAGTACGGCCTGCGGGACCGCGTCATCAAGCCCAATGGTGACAATGTCTACGCTCTCTCCGTACATCCTGGTGCAGTTAATACGGCTATGCAGCAGCAGTGGAAGGACGCGTATCCTGGTATTACCGGCAAGCTGTTGTCAAATGCCATGCTCTTCGCTGGACGAGACGTGGAGCAGGGGTCGTACAGTGCGCTGTGGTGCTGCACGGCAGATGAGATCGAAGAGAAGAACATGAATGGGTACTACTTCAACGACCCCGTAAGTTGCCCTTGACTTTAGAAACAACACTGTTGGGCTCGATGACTGATACGTGACTGCAGGGCCAACCAGGCAAAGAGACGTCTCAAGCCAGCGATGAGAACCTTGGTGCTGCGCTCTGGGATCTGAGCGAGCGGATCATCAAAGACAAATTGGGTGCAGATGCGCTGGTCGACTGGAGTGCGAAGGAATAAGATCGTGCTCAGATACAATATGGGCAGCTTCAATTACGTCTAATCTCGTGCGTAATGTGCAAAAGATTATCATTATGGGCGTGTAGAAAACATATCTTATAAGAGCTTACAACATCCTGAGAATGGTACATGGTATAATAACAATGACTCCACCATCCTAAGAAACATAAGGCCAAACCCCGCGTTGATGAGTTATGATCCGCTGCGACCTTCCAAGTTCCCGTGAAGACATATAACGACGTAGACCTTGACAAGATGGAGACTCCCTAACCGCATCATCATCGAGCAGCTCTGGATGCTCGTCGACGACCATAAACACCGCCTCCCGCAGATCCGTCGCATGCTCCGGAAGGTCCTCGTAAACCCACAAGATGGCGTCAATCATCTCGGGATTGGGATGGTAGTATTCCGCTGCTTCCTGGAACCTCTTCGTACATAGCGCCTGTAGGTCGGGTACTAAGTACTTGTCTGCGACTTCCCAGAGCTGAAGGTGCAGCAACATGTGGCGGGGTGTTGGGGTGTGATAGAGCGCTCGGCCTGAGCCCTTTGGCATGCCTTGAAGTATCCGCTGTCGTTTCTGGACAATCTGATTTGATTGTAGGTTTGGAGGTGTTTGAAGTTTCCGCTTCTGCGAGGTAGATGAGGATATAGCGCCGACGGCTGGTGATGCTTCTCCGTGGGGCAAGCGAGAACTGCCATCATTATTGTGGGGGTCGTGTTGATCGTTCCCCTCGCAACTGGCATACGGGCTGTTGCCATAACTTCTGATCCATGTCAGATCCTGTGTGCGCGCATCAATCTTCCAGGAAGTGGCGTCGTAGTCGCCTTCATGAAGAAACTCAATCATGAGACTGACCATAGCAGGTTCGTCGTCATGAAGCGTTATGGTGCCTTCGGAAGCCTCCTTCCCAAATTCTATTGCGCGCCGAAAGTATTCAGAGTAGGGAGTAATGATCTCTAGATCGACAGTGTAGCTATCAGCCCCGCAGGCTATAGTGAAGTTGGACTTCATGGCTCTGGAGTGTAGTCGTCTGGTGTAGGGGTTGAGGCTTGGGTAGGTGTGAATGGGCGAAGGTGGATTGGCAGTGATTGTTGGTAAAGTGGATAAATCTGGTTCTTGCTAGAGTGTTCATGTGCGTCAACAGGCGATGGCAGATAAATAGAGTATTCACTCTGTCGCTGACCACGTGAGCCGGTTGCCTTAGGATTTGACATGAACTCACGATGTGGCCACCTTGGATGAGAGAGGCCGCACATCGTGAGATCGAGTTTGCGATGCGGCCCTGAGCCAAAGGCCTGGGATATTTTCTGGGTTTTGTAGTTTCTGAGCCCCAACCCCGTGCAAAACGTCGTCCAGCTGCCGAGAAGCGACAAGAGGTGTGTTTCTTTCATAGATCATGAGGTATGGACGTTGACGGAAAAGAGACGTGTCCAGCTACGAGTCTTTGCAAGAAGTCGAGCATCCTATGAAGTCGTGTAGACTGGATGTATGCTCGCTGGCTAGAGAAAGAATGCTTGGGAGCAATAACGTGATCTTGTAATCTTTGCGTGTACCCCCCCACCTGATTGGAAGAGATGACTCTAACGCAGGACCTAGGTTTCAGCACCCAAGCCCGAAAATCCCAGCAGGGGTAGGTCGTATTGACCAGCATAGCGTGCGTACGACATACTTCGTGCAGACAGCCTAAACATGCAACGAGGATGACCCGACAAGGCCGCAGCTGTGGTGTTCCGTGGCAGGTGGCACGGCCCGATCGGCTAGTAACGCGAGCATGTCCGAGAACGAGAAGATGTTCCGAAGGCACGGCGCGGTGGGGGCGCAGGGTCGTAAACGCTGTGTAAGACCGTCTGGTGGTGGGCTAGTGACCGGTGAGCAACCCCACCTCCGCTCCATGCAGTAGGCTATAGTCTGCAGCCCAGTTGTGTTCGCCGCTAGGGCTGCAGCTTCGCCACACAGTTGCCACCGCAAGATTGGGGTCCGGATGACAATTCCGCGAGACGAATGGCTCAGCTTGAGCGTATTCTTCCAAGCCTCCAACTGGATCTGCGTGTCGTCCCCGTTGTTGGACTTTGCTGTCGCGTGTTTTTGAGCGCAAGAACAGCTTTTTTCGATTCTAACTGCTTTTTGTTCTCTTTTAGTATCCCTAACTCGTCCGCACCCTCCTCGAGTATGAGTGCAATGAAGTCTGTTCGATTCTTTGCGACAGCGTGATCTAACACGGAAGCAGGTTCGGTGTCTTTGGCGTTAACGTCGGCGCCGTGCGTGATGAGAACACGAGCTATTTTGACAAAGCCACGCTGTGCTGCGAGGTGGAGGGGAGCGCGTTGGTGGTCCCCACGGATGTTCGCAAGAGTCGCAGGCTCTGGATGCTGTTCCAGCAGTAAACGGATCTCTGCAACGAGGGCAGGGTCGTCCTGGCATTGCGCCACTTTCGAGTGAAAGACTCTCCACTCTTCGCTAGGTCTCGAGATGCCGTACATTGGTCTGGGAAGAATGCTTTCGTCGTCGTCTGATTGTGTTAAAGGAGCGCTCGAAGAGGAAGACGAGACGGAGAATCGCGGGGCCGAAGTCGGATCAGACGCTCTACGGAAGTGTACTGGATCTAATACAGTGTCTGTATTCGAGAACCACCGATCAAGCGAGACGAGGTCATACTGAGCTGGTTGATCCTCTTTGCTGTCATACATTATAGGTTGCTGTATAAGCTTCAGTGCCATTTCTTGTGCTGAACGTTGAGAACTATACTTACTGGTACTGCGGTCTCGGAAACGCGGCGAATATAGGAGCTGACTTCACTAGCATCGCGTTAGAAATGTATGAGTCTGAGGAAGATCTGTACGAACAGATATGAGCAGGCTCCAGTCACAATGACAATATCTCCCAGGTATCGTCGAATGTCGTCCACCGCGAACTCAATATCCTTGGCCATTGCGTCCATTCTTCGTTTCACAGAGGCCTTGTCACGAAAGGTCTCCGCGCTTTTACTTTGAGCTCCCAAGTCCGCTATCTTCGATTTGATCTCCCTGAGACGATTGCGACATAGCGTGATCTTCTCGCGTACCAAAATCGACGGCTCGCTGGAATCATCGGGCTCAGCTTGATGATACTTCGAGTTGAGTACGCGTACAACCCCATGCACCTCTGTTATCTTTTCGAGGAGCCGGCTGACCAAAATGTCGATTTCCCGCACCGCTTCGATGTAGTCTTTGCACGCTCGGACGACGGCGAGCCCAAGCGATGCGATGGTAATTATGCTCGAAATAGTCTCGGCCATGATTACTTGGGTTCCGTGTACGGTGGCCAGGCCCACTTAAAGTGGGTCCTTAAAGGTAGTCTGGAGCCAGGTTATGGTGTTGCACAAGGATGTCGTCTGATAAGTGCAGGCGGGAGCGCAACGATGGTTACGGACGCGGCATCGGTTTCATTTGAAGAAGGCCTCTCGCCAGGCGGCTCAAAGATCAAGAAGGGGCTTAGCAGGACGCGTGCAGCCTGTTCGTGGCCAAGGACGAAGACAGGTAATGTGAGAAGCACACGTGTGAAATGAGTTGACGTAAGAGTCAAGTATGAACAGTCAAATGCGCTATGCAAGGGTTGGCATTCGTCCGATGCGTCAACGGGCCGGGGCAACTCCACATGTCTGGAGAAAGCGGAGGGCGGGGGAAGCTCGACAACCACACTATTACAGATCAAGTAGGCAACCGCTTATGTGCCGTCTTAGTAGATCCACAGCCTCCCTTACCACGCTACGTATCAACTAGCCAAGCGGGCTAACGGGACAGCTCATATGTCGGGGAATTCGTCATTCGGAAGCTCATTTCGAACGTTCGCGGTTTCGCATCATCTGGTCCAGCATCTCAGACAGAGACTCGGGAGGCAGAGCAGACGTACCGGCAATGGCGTGTCCTAGCTGGGTAATTTCAAAGCATTCTGCGAGGCAGAGGGCTGAGAGAGAACCAAGGTGTCACCAATAAATCCAAAGTCGCAGGGTGATGCAATGGCTGACCCTAATGCCGGATGCGGTTTGGTAGCACCTGACGGCATTTGGCGATGCACGCGGTTATTGGCTGAGATTCCCCAAGACCACGTTGCCTGAAAAAGGGCAGCGATGCATGCCAAAAGCAAGGGCAAGGCGGCCAATCCACTGAGAGGGGGGTGATTATCAGAACGCAGACCTAATGCTCAGCCACTCGTCTAAGATGATCTGGAGGTAATTTGGCGGTGGAGGACCCCGACAAAATATGCAGTATGCGTGATCAGGCTCGCCCTTGGGAAGGCCTGTCAGCCTTATAGGACTCAGCCCGATGCGGCAGGCAAACATATATTGTGATGCTGGGGCGCGTTGTCGCACATTGATTACGGCCCCTAAGCGACATACTCTTGCTCAAAGCGCTGGCCACTATGACTGAACCCCTTCAGCAAGCAACAGCTTTTGAAGGCACAGTAGGACACCAAACCCTTGCGACGGATCAACAGCGCTCAACAGGCGCAAGACAAAAGTATGCGCATGAGTCGATGTTAACAGAATGTAACTGACTTGGCATAGTATAGACAATCCGTTTCTGACGTTCGATGACACGATTCCCGACCTCAAGACCCAACGTACTGAGCTAGAAGAATATGTTTGGGAATTTGCTTCATTAGCCGGTCTCAAAGACCGCTATGAGTTGCTTCGATTTGGTGCTCGTCTCGCTCGAGACAAGTATGAGGCTATGAGAAAATACGCGGATGAGCTCACAGATTCGGAAAAGGAGTTGTTGGAGAAGGAAAAGGATGAGAGTACAGGCTTTTGGAAGCAGTCCAAATTTCTCCGCGCGACAATCATGACCGCAAGTCTTGCCGGTATGATCCAGGGATGGACGCAAAGCGCCAACAATGGTACTGCTTATGGCATGCCAGATGAGTTTGGCCTCTGCTATCGCAGGGGAGATACGTGTTCTTCATCCGATCTTTGGAAGTTTGGAATGCTGAACGCTATTCCGCTGCTTTCCGCAGGCCTCTT